AAAAGTCAAAGTTTATACCCTTATACCTACATAACCCGTTTGACACTATGTTCTTAACATACCTTGTAGAAAAATAAAACATTTTAGAAAAAATTGCACTTTTTACCTTCAGCTGTTTAGAAGTTATAAGCAGGTTAATTAGGTGAAAATATAAGTGTATACTCGAGGAATAACTTAAAAAAATATTTTAACTGTCTACTAAAATAAGTGGACGCCTATGGATTACGAACGCTTTATTATTTTAATACTCTCTCATACATAAAAATAGACATTAGCGCATTCCCACCAGATTCTCGTTTATTGCGTCTTTGCCGGATTTATCAACCTGTAAAAATTATTTGGAGAAATTACTTTCGAAAAAATAAAATTTGATGTATTCTATAACTATAATTTTATATTATGTAAATAAAAATATGTTTTTAATCAAATTATTCTTTAAAATTTTAATATAAGCTAAATTTTTTATTAAAAATCCATATTAATCAAACAAAATATTAGGGTTGCAAAGAACTCCGTAAATATCTTATTTTATGAATTTACAACTTTTATGAATAAAAAATAGTTACCGTAACCAGCCGCAACGTTGCCAATCGGGTCTAACAGCTATTTTGTATTTCTGACAGTTTTATAAAATATTATTTTTGTGAACTTTTGTGAGAAATACATGCATGTGTAGTGTTCAATAAGGTAGATCATTTAAATCGAAATTTATCCTTTTATCGGTAGGTAAGTATTTTTAGGTTAAGATGTTGTTTTCATTTGAACCAGTGGAGTAGGGCACCCGTCTTAACACTGTTTTGACTATACAATTTCTTGTACAAGATTTGATACAATTTCTTAGAGAATTTAAACTGTATGGGATCACACAGTAAATTGTTTGATAATATATAATTTAAATTGTACAAGAAATTGTATCAAAAACTTATGTAGTCTGAAACAGTGTTAAAACAGTTTTTAAAATGATATTCGTTTTATAAATTAGTAAATTATTCTTATACTTATAAATAATTATTGAATAGTGATAAAGAAAATTTAACGTAAAATGTAGAATACTTTAAAAATGATTTACTTATTAGGCACCTATACATATTTTTTAATATTCTATTTAGGTATCCGCAAGATCTTGAGAAAAGAAAACTTTGGTTTTGTATAGTAGGGATCCTTAAGAATGAGCCCCTTCGTAAAAACTCAGAGTAGTGTTCAGAACACTTTTTTTCTGAAGATGTTTCGGTACGTGAAAATAGTGCTAAATATATCAGAAAAGATGCAAACCCCAGACGGTGTGAGGGCTTTCTATTTTTGGATGACTTTTCCAACAGGTAAAAATACAAAATATAAATTTTTTATTTACCTCTAAACATTATTTATTACCTATATGTATGTATATCTAATGTATGGGTTTTTAGTTCCGATTCAACTGTTTTTGGAACACCACCTGCTGCAAAATAAATATTGTAGTAAGTAATAACACCAATAACTAAGCATAAAAAATTAAATGAAATTTAAGTTAATAAAATTAAGGTATTTAATATATTTTTCGTCATACTGTACTATTATCTTACCATAATATGAGCGAAATTGATATCGAAAAGGTGCATTTAACGGCCGCCGGCCGTTAAATAAAATAACGGCCGTGCACCACCTACAACAATCACAACAATCTAAAGTTGCCTAGCAACCACATCAATATACTATACAAACATTGTAAGTTTGACAGTACTGTTTCTTGTTGAGTGATTATAGAGCGGAAAAGATCAAAGATGGAAGAAATTTTCGAAAACGATATTCCCTCCGATGTACTGGAAGAAGCAGCTGCGGCAACCAAAAATGTATTTCCGAGTACAACCCAACAAAGATATCAGCAGGAATACGACAACTTCGTGAAGTGGCGTCAGAATAAAAACATACATAGTGTAAGTGAAGAAGTACTGCTAGCTTATGCAAAAGGAATGTCTGAAACGTATTCTCCTACATCACTGTGGACAAAAATATCAATGCTGAAACTTGCGTTAAGAATACATGAAAACATTGACATATCAAGGTAAATTACTATATTATCCGCCAACATTGAAATAACTATATACTCATCGAAATTATGTTTGTTTGTAGATTCGGTAAACTATTCTTGTTCCTGAGGCGCAAAAATGAAGGTTATACCCCAAAGAAAGCCAAGGTTCTATCGGAAAATGATATACTTAAATTTTTGCAGGACGCGGATGATCATACCTGGCTACTGGAAAAGGTTGTGTTAGTGCTCGGTATTCTAGGAGCTTGCAGGAGAAGTGAACTTACGTCTCTCACCATTAACAGTTTCGAAGATACAGAGAAAAACATCCTCGTATCACTAAAAAAATACTAAGAATAAAAAAGACAGAAATTTTCTTATCCCAAAAACAGGACTTCCATTTGATGCATATGGTTTATACAAGAAATTCAGTAATCTGCGTCCTCCTAGTTTCAAAAATCAGAGATTTTTCGTTGGTTATAGAAATGGCAAATGTGTGCAGTAAGTCGTCGGCATACATACCATCGGAAGCGTTCCTAAGAAAATTGCCACCTTTTTAAAACTTGAAAATCCCGAACTTTATACAGGACATTCATTTCGTAGAACATTAGCAACTATGCTCGTAGAAAATGGTGGTGACTTACTGTCATTAAAAGAACTGGGAGGATGGGAATCATCAACGGTGGCGGAAACTTACATAGAAAAATCGGTTTCTAAAAGAATGAAAATAACAAAACAATTTTTTCCAAATAATCCGGAGAATATTGCATCTTCAAGTACTGCAAATAGTTCACATTCTTCAGAAACATCTTCCTCTGTAAAATCTAAATATCCTTGGGACGGGTTGCAGATTTCAAATAACACCAATTGCGAATTCAATTTCCACATCCATTACAATAAGGAATAAATTGTTTTATTCCGTACCTATCTTTTAAGAGTTACGTTTAATAAAATTTGTTCTTAAATTAGGTGTTTTGTTTTTGTAGCAGTATGACGAAAAATCTTGAACGAAACACGGCCGATAACAGCAAATAACGGCCTTGGCTGTTTATGATCCTCGGCTATCGCCTCGGATCACAAACTTCAGCCCGGCCGTTATTTGCTATTTATCGGCCTTATAACGTTAATAACTATAAAACGTTATTTTCAAATTTTTTACAGTTTTACGATATTTTTTGCCATACCATTTTTTTTGTAATTATTAATTAAAAAATTATATATTTTTAGGACAGTGTTTTATTTAGGTGCCCCTACCTACTTAATGTTAATTTAAAATTTTAATTAATTTTGGTTAACATCATACCAGCCAAATAGTAGAAGAACCGATAATTGGAAGAATCTCTTGGGGCTGAGACAGGCCAAGATACTTCTGGGTGAATATAACCAGAAAAGATCGGAAGCCTGCATCAGCCTGAGCAAGGACAGGTTAGGTATTGAAACAGGGATCCTTACCTGACATTGCCGACTAAAAGGACACCTAAGTAAACTGAAAGTAGTAGATAGTGAATGCAGATTCTGTGAGGAGGAGGAAGACAAATCCTCCATTCACATCCTAACTGAATGTGTAGCACTCCAGAATTTAAGGGCACTATATCTAGGAGGATATCAAATAGAAGAGGGAGATTTACCTAACTTGAAGCCAATTCAAATCCTACACTTCCTTGAGAAAATAGGATTGGAAGGGTCGTTATAGGCATTGAGACATTTTCTTAGTGCATTGGCGACAGAAGAGGGCACAATAGATCTTTTAGGTCGCAGTGTATTAACACCCCATTCCCAGCATAACATAACCAGGCAAATATATCGCACCCCTAGATGAAAACCCAACTAAATCGAAAAACCTTATTTTTCAGAAACGACGAAAAATTGTTTTTGAAGTATTTAGAAAATAAATCAAAAAACTAAAAACACATTATAAAGGTAATTACTTCTAAAGCTTGGTAAGTTACCTTATTTTTAAATCGTTCCTTTAAAACCTGAAAAAATCAAAAATTTTTAGTTACTCTAGTTTTGCACCGGCAGTAACTAATATTTTTTTGTACTAACTAGAGTTACTTTACTTTATCTGAAATATAAACGAGTAACATTACTTTTCACTGCAAAAACAAGATAACATTTTTTGGGTATTTTGAGTTATGGATTATGTACAACGTCTTGCTTCATAAGTTTAGGATAGTTTTTAGATCTATGTAGGTATACTAGAATTAAAATGGTTAAAATAAAACAATTAATTTATTCAAATAGAAACTTATAATTTATTTACTAAAATAAAAAACAAAGAAAAATTAAACATCAATTTATGAAGTTAGTTACATACAAAATTAGTATTTCCATATTAAAACAATTATTAATTACTTACTAGGTATGGTAATGAAATTGAGATCGCATACGACTTATTTCTTTATCATAATCATAGCTATATTTAATATACCTTTAGAAGGTAGCATATCAGATACATTTGAGCATTCTCTTCTCTTTAAACTTAACATAACTACAGCCTCTGACCTATCTTTGGTAATAATTAATACAAGATATTAAAAATTATAAATTCTAGCAGTCTATATTTTCGGTTTTGTGCTATTATCACCTACTATTAGCAGTAACATTCCCAAGTTGCAAATCACAGTTAATTTATTAGAATTCTAATATTATTCAGTAACCTTATTAATATTTATAAATACAAAAGAAGTAGTCTCCAACAATGTATTCCCTTTGTCGCTGATGATCTTCGAGACCCCAAAATGCATCAAAAAAATTTTGACGAGTTGTGGAGTTGAGTTTGATGCTACATTTTAAACGACACTTTTTTCCACAGGAGGTCGCATTTGGCGAGCAGGGATTTCTTCTTTTAGTTTACCTCGTGACTTGTACGCGTTTCCCGAATTTTTGAGGGTTTTGACTATATCGGCCTTTCATGTTTCTGGTTTCCTTAGTTTCTTCTTACCCTGGACTACTTCTTCTTGCGCTAGAGTTTCGTTACTTGCAACATTTTGAATTAGATTGGTATCCTCGACGTATTGTTGTTTTCATTGAGTGTTGAGGCAATATTTTTGTCATGATTCTGAAGCTCGCAAATAGAGACAGTAGTGTTATCTTCAGTAATAGTGTTACTGCTTGAGCTACTGCTGGAGCTGCTACTTGATGAACTGGAACTGCTGCTTGATGAACTGGAACTGCTAGACGAAGACGAAAGGGATCGAGACCGTTTCATTTTTGATGAAGAAGGTGAGTTACGTAAAGGAGAGAAAACTATTTTTCTTTTAGGAGTGGGGTTTTTGTAGTTTGGGTCTGCATCGGAATCGTCGAAGTCAAATTTATCGCCGCTGTGGATTGGTGATATAGCATATTGACGTTTAGGAACTCTTCGTAGTCCGTTAGCGGTAGTAGGCTGCTCATAAAGATTTAAGGAAGGTTCATTATTGCTCGGTGATGAAATTAATCTCTTAGCTGGCAACTTAGGCTCATTAAGATTTATTGAAGATTCAATAATACTCGGTGACACAACTAAACTTCTGTTAGTTGGAAACTCAGACTTCTTTACTCTATTGGGCATTTCGATACTAAAGAATTTAAGTGTTTTTGAAGCATCCAATATTGTAGACTTTTCAGGATTAGGTTTTTTTGCGTTGATCATTTCCAACATTAATTTTCCTCAGCTCATCATTGTCCTAAAATAAAAATGTTGAAATTCAATAACAAATCAAGTAAAATCAACCAACTCAAAAAATTCAATAATATCACATACAGATTTTTAAAATCTTGTAATTAATTATAATTCTGATTAAAAATGTCATACGCAACCTATTTTCTTTAAAAAAACAAACCAAAATATTTTAAGTTAAAATTTCATTCAACAAAATTCGAGTAAGTCGAAATTTCTGTTTACTGTCATGTAAAACCGAGTTACTCGAAATATCAAGAAAAATATTGCAGTAAAATATCATCAAAACCCCCGCAAATCAAAATGAACTATTATTGCCATCAACGAAATTTCAACAAAACTCAATCAACTCAAAATAAAAATTGAAACTTACCTAACAACTTCACATAAACTCTTACAACTCAAAATCTGTCACTTTGCAAACGTCCTCCACCTACGTTCATCAGGTGGCAACTAAAAATGGCGGAGTTGTATTCGCTCGTCTTCCGGCGTAAGTCATTCACCTATACCCATGTTTCGCGACATCTTTCGGCAACGGTTAAAGGTATAGTTACATGAGTCATATTTCCATGTAGGTATTTGAGTAAGGAATTCGAAAACGCTACTAATTCAAAATGGATAATTTTGATTTAGTGGGGTTTTCATCTAGGGGTGCGATATAGTAAATGCCCATAAACTATAAACCATTAAATATTAAAAATCAGAAGGTAACTTGAATTTTCTTGTATTTGAATTTACTTGTTCTTGAATTTACCTACATGAAAAAATCATCATAATTATATTACCAAAAAAATATACCTACTTATTTACGTATATTTTTAACATACCACTCTGACAATACTGGTAAGTTTAAAACTCTACGCCTATTATGGACACTGTTTACAACGTTGCCAGCCGGTCCTAAGAGATCTGTCTTTCTCTCTTCAACTAACTAACAATTTTAAAACAATAACAGACCGCAATTGTATGGGATTTATGAATGAAACATGTTGTAATGTCTTTTTAGACAACGTTATTCCCCACTTTGAATTCCCGGTATGGCACTTACAAAGTGTAGGGGGGGGGGGTGTGAATTTTCAAACGTGTAAACAATATCCATGCCCCTGAATTATTGGCTCCACTTTGATTTCTGTTTTATGTCGTTAAGGAGGTTGTAAATGTCCGCGAACTCAATATGTCCGCCATACTTGCCAAAACGTAAAATATAGAACAAAGTTTTCAAAACGCCATACCCGCCAGATGGCCGCCATATTGGGGCAAACATGTAATTTTTTAGCAATGAACATGTATATTGGGTACTGGTATGGCGTGTTGGTTTTAAGTTGCTCTCTTGTATTACTTAAGTGGGGATTACACTGACAAAAAAATGTCCAAATTCGTAGATTGTTCTAAAAATGTGTATACAGGGTTGGGAAAAGTATGGAACCAAGTAAATATCTTTAAAACGAAAAGGACGATATTTATGAAACTTTGCAGGCAAGTACAATGACGCATAACGCATCTGATGCCATATTTTTTGTTACTACTCTACTTCCGGTTTTACCGGAAATACCCTCAACTTTTTTAATTTAAAGGGAATACCCTGTATATTTTCGTACAGTGTCGTATTGGTGGTTTGAACTGAAAATTTGTCAAAGGATGCTTTTCTAGTTTTTGTGATTTTATGGAATCATCCAATGTCGGGGAGGGTTAGAAAAGTATCTTATTATTATAAGAAGCACTAATGGTAAAATTGGATCTGGTTAACGTGGATTTAAGCCCGTTATTTTGGTGATTGTAGTGCTGGCTTTTTATCTAGTGTTTGAATAGAATCTGATTTGAAGTTCAATCCATTGGTATATGTATTAGCACTCTCATATTGAAAGTTGATCGTAGTTTAGACCGTATATTGAAGGGTACACTGGTTTTAAGAAGGTTTTAGCAGATCTCTCTGCGGTTTTGATTAAAGTTACACCCTCTGGGATAAGAGATAAATTTTATTCTTTTTTTTTATATTGTAATTTGTAAATATTACTAATCATTCATTGTTAACAGTAGAGATTCTTTCAGATGTGGGGTACAGTTTTTGTTGTATTGAATTTGGCTAATTAAATTTAAATTGGGTAATTTTGTTGATTTGCTTGAATAAATAGTCACGATATAACTAACAAAGATAAGATATTGCGCCTGAATGGGAGGAGCCTAAGCGGCTGGCCTACGTCACTCGCAGCGTCTTTTCACCATTGTTATTAGTTTTTAACGTGATTTACTTTGCAATAGACGAGTTTGTGAATGTTTTTTGACTATTTATTATCTAAAACAATGCGTTGTGCAGTTTACGGATGCCATTCTGACAATGAATCGAAAAAAATCCGTGTCCCAACGTAAAATTTTTCCGATTTCCGAAAATAGGATAATTGTGCAAAAAGTGGATTCATGCTACGGGAAGAAAAGACAAGTTCAACGTTAAAACGTCTTATGTTTGTTCCAAGCACTTTGCTGAAAGTGACTTTAAGATAAATTTGCGACATAAGTTATTGAACTATACCCCAAAATGTTATCGTCCGCTAGAAGATCATGCAGTGCCGAACTTAAAACTACCCTATGAGGTACATGCAAAGCCTGCTGAAGCTGCTTCAGGACGTGATGCAAGTATTAAAAAAAGGCAGAGAAAGCAATTGGTTGACGAACTATTGAACACGTAAGTACACATAAAATTTCTAACCTTAAAAACCAATATTCTTAACTTTGTGTAAAATTGGGCATTGTCATAATTTTGGTAATTTTTATATTAGTAGGTCTGGTGATGGTACTGGTGGTAAAAATAATGATAGTACGTTAAGTAGTTCGGGCAGTAGTCTGGTACATAATTTTGATGGTGCTTGCATGAGTGATATTCCTTCGACATCATCTAATGATAATAAGTGGTAATTTAAGTAGTTTTGAATGTACCTATTTCTGCATCTAATTTGCTACATAATTATTTGTTATTAACATATGTTTTACATTTTAGGGTGCAAACTGACGTGACTGCCACCACAATTGATTCTGTGACAAACTCACTAAATGAAAAAACCAGAGAAGTAGCAGAATTAAAAGAAACACTGTCTGCCGTCGAAAAGGTGTTTTCCAAAAATCAAATTTCAAAACTAAAGCACCAGAAGCGCATTCAATGGTCTACTACCGAAATTGCAAATTCCATTGTATTATATGCCGCTGGACCCAGAGCATACAGGCTTATGTTAAAAAAAGGGTTTCCATACCCTGCAGTCTCCACACTAAGAGCTTGGCTAAAAAAGATTAAAATTCAACCAGGGATTCTTAAAAACATCTTTAAACTTGTAGAATTTTCTGATTTTAATAATAACGATAGAGTTTGCATTATAATGTTTGATGAAATTAAAATCAGGAAAGAATATATCTATGATCGGTTAGAAGATGAAATTCTGAAGCCTTTTGCTTATGCACAAGTAGTCATGATGAGGGGGCTATTTAAGTCATGGAAACAACCAATCTTTTATGATTATGACTTTAAAATGACAGCTAAAACTTTGTTTGAGATCATCAATTTTTTGGAAAGTTCAGGTATGTCTAAAAATTCATCAGAAGTTTTAAATTTTAATAAATATTATTCTGCAGGTTTTCCAGTAGTGGCCATGGTTTCTGATTTAGGAGGTGGAAATAGAGGACTTCATACTGAGCTGGAAATTTCAAAATCAAAACCTCACTTCTTGAATCCTTGCAATGGGGAAAAAATATATGTCTTTGCTGATGTGCCCCATCTTTTGAAGTTAATCAGAAATCATTTTGTGGATCAAGGTTTTATTCATAATAATGGAAAAGAAATCAACAAATCTATTGTAGAATCCACATTAGATGCTACAGCCGTTTCTGATCTCAAAATTACGCACAAAATTTCGAAAGAGACACTTAATGTAGTTGGGGCACAAAGGCAAAAAGTTAAATTTGCAGCTAAGCTCTTTTCCCATACGATTTCAAAAGCCATTAGTAGATGTGGAACACTTGGATATCTTCCTGGTGATATGAATTGGACCGAATGTGCAGACTTTTTTAAAACTGTAAGAATTTCATTGCAATACATTTTGTTTTTATTAATTTATTATTTTGTAGGTAAACGATTGGTTTGACGTTTTTAACGTCAGTGTACCTTTTAGTGACACAAGAGCCAGGAACCGAGGTTATGGCCTGGAAGTTGAGCAGCAAAATGAAGTAATCGATCGAATGTCTGAAGAAGTTTTAAATATCAGAGTAAAAGTAAGAAAAAGTTTACTTCCATTTCAGGATGGTAAATAATTTGAATAAATTAGTTTTGTTTTTAATAATTTGTGAAAATTTAACTAGGTATTCTGATGTCCAACAATGCCTTAAAACTTTTGCTTGAAGATTTAAAAAGAAGGTTTGATACGCAATACATTCTTACTCGGCGTTTAAATCAAGACATTTTGGAGAAATTTTTTGGTATAATTAGAGCAAAGGGAGGGCTCCATGACCATCCCAATGCCCTAGAATTCAAATACCGGTTACGCTCATATATTATGGGAAAAAATGAAGGTGCATATTCAGATTTCTCCAATGTAGAGGCAGACGATACTCCAGACTTGCCCATGAGTGGTCAAATGATAGATAAATTGGATACTAGTAATAATCCCCTCCTAATCGTAAATGATCCACTAATTGTTGTTAATGCCAATGAACAAGATGAAGTTATATCCCATGAACTCCACGAATTGGAATATGATGGCTTAGAAAATTTAGCAGGGTACATTTATTTCAAATTAGGTTATTCCAGAATTGAATACACAAACAAACCATTTTATACTTGGCTTGATCACGTGGATGAAGGAGGTTTATGCAAACCATCGGATGAATTTCTTTAAAAAATGGAGGAACTGGAAAATATTTTTACTAGTGTAAATGGAGATACTCTACTGGTTTGCAAAAATTACATCAAAAACTTGGTGTCGAAAAGTGTTCATGTTGAT